TGCTGGTGCAAATGCTGGAGCAAATGCTGGAGCAAATGCAGGAGCACTTGGATCTGGAAGTGGAATCGGTGGTTATGGTGCTCCAAGCAAAAGTGCTCCTATTTATGAAACGCCTGGATCTGCCTTTGGTAATGGCGCTGCTGGAAACGCTGGTGCAAATGCTGGAGCAAATGCTGGAGCAAATGCAGGAGCACTTGGATCAGGAAGTGGAATCGGTGGTTCTGGTGTTCCAAGCAAAGGTGCTCCTATCTATGGAACGCCTGGATCTGCCTTTGGTAATGGCGCTGCTGGAAACGCTGGTGCAAACGCTGGTGCAAATGCTGGAGCAAGTGCTAAAGCTGACGCTACAGCAAATGCTGGAAGTACTGGATCAAGTGGAGTCGGTGGCTTTGGAAGCCCAATCAAAGGCGCTGGAAGTGGATTCGGTGGATCTGGAGCCGGTGGATTTGGAGGTGCTTCCGCTAGTGCCAGTGCAAAGGCTGAGGCTTCCGCCACTGCTGGAGGTGCTGCTGGTGGTTATGGCGATTCAGGAGCTCACGGGGGTATGTACATTTAGTGAAATTTGTCTCATTGTCTTTCCTGCTTCATAAAATTTGAACTGCAATCGATATTTATCTTAACATTTATCCTTATTTTCTTATTTAATTGAAGAACATTCCAATTATAACGTTGACAAGAAATCAATTGCAATTCACGCCTAAAAAACATGCTTACCTTTATTTTCCAAGGAATAAGAAATTTACACAACTCCTTCCTTTCACTTTCTCTGCTTACATGCTTCCTTAATTCATTCGTCATTTACTGTTGCTTTCATAGGCATGTCCGCCAGTGCCGAAGCGACCGCATCATCTATGGTTAAGGCAATCGAATCAGGTTTGGTCCTAATTAAATGATTACATCTCCCTTCTTCAGGCTCAAACGCAGTTTCCAGTGCAAACTCGAACTCGTTCGCCAATGGAGGTTCCGCCAGCAGCAGTTCGTCCGCCAAGTCGACCGCTTTTGGAAGTGGAAATGGAGGAGCCAGCGCAAATGCACAGGCGTCGAGCAAAGCTTCGTCGGGATCCGGCGGCAGTTCCGCCTCTAGCTCCGCTTCCGCCAACGTAGACACACACAGCATGCTCATCTTCAGCAACTAATCGTCCAAACGTCCGAATCAAATCGTTAATCGTTAATTACTGCTTGCTCAAGCTATTTAGCCATGGAGAAATTGGATGCCATAACCCGTGTCATCACTCTGAAGGTTTTAGGATACTCTTCTGATTCGTGAACACGCAATTAATAATAGCGTGTAGGACCTGAAACACGCCAATAAGTCGAGAGTTAAAGATACAACGATCAACGTCGATATTCGATGCGTCGAACGTTGATACACCGCGATTAAAATCGCAAGATCGTACTATTGTAAGCGAGATTGAACAGAAATTGTAATTGTTTTGCATTTTCTTCGTGGTGTGTTATGCAACGAGTTTTATTGCGCTTCGATCTTACCGGTGAATCGGGATGAATAGAGTTCCATCGGTGTTCGTCGAGTTGAACGTTTAAAATTTATTGTCATTTGTGATATCGTTCTTGCCAATGCACGAAGCATAGAGAGCGTACTCTGTTTCATCGAATCACTCTCGATATCCTTTCCGTTAACGTTAATATCGGATATTACGCTTGTGTTCATTGATTTGATCATCCTATCGAACTGTAATAACAGCTGGTTTAGAAACTTTTCAGAGTGTCTTCCTCCTATCCTTTTTTAATCTTCTCGTATATGTGGATAATACTCTAATTGTACTCTATTTATCAGTATAAGATTAGCTTCCTTTTAACGTTATAATAGGTATCTAAAACAGATAGAACGTTATCTCTGCGAAAATATATGTCATTAAATATACCATACGTTGGTGTTACTTGTGTATCGTGAGAAACTATTTTCATTGTAAGTCGCGATTGCCTGTAAGCACAGATAGCGTTTTGTCTGTCTGTATTTGTACGTATGCGATATTGTCACGAATATCAAATTTACGTTGTAGCGTTCTAAACATGACTATCGATAATAAAAAGAAATTTTTATATTAATTTATATGCAAGACGAATGGCAGTATGATTTCCTACGAATTCTAGCGAACAAAAGCATTTATCGAATATTCAAATATATAACATGAAATATGAAATACATTGAATATTCGATAAAATACACATAGGTCGTGAGTATCGATTAATATCTTTTGTTTGTTTCTTCATCCTATGATCGATGAGTTTCTAGACAACTACAAATTTGTTCAATTTTCAAATCTGCATGCCATAGGATAACAAAGAATAAACAGAATTTTCTGTACATTTCTAAAAATGCGTTTCTGTAACTCGGATTCGAATTTGAATTCCTTAACTCGTATTCGTATTCGTAACTTTTACCTTCAATTCGAATTTGGTATTTTACATTTAAATTTGTATTCGAATGCCTTAACACGAATCTTTTACTTTAAATTTAAATTTTATTCAATGTTTCTTGATGCCATATTATTTATATTTAAATGTATATTTTATACTGCATAAGAGATTTAGAGGAAGCGGACGAATGGAACTGTATAAAAACGTCGAAACGACAAAATAAGGAATATAATGATACATCGGAATATACACTTGTCTCTTCTTGTTGGTATCCGTACATGCAAATCTTGTAATTTATACGTAATTACTGACAATCGCTTTTGTATCGGGTATCATTTATTTTTGCGTCTCCGCAAAATTCCCATTTATTATTATGTATTATCACATAGTTGCAAACGTCAATTCTACGTCTTTGCTTTATTCTGTTATGCAATATGTTATTGCTTTATAAGTTATGAGAATTTAATAAATAATACGACTCTTTTTTTTTTTTATCAATCGACATCTTTCCGATAAACTTAATTCATTACGAAGCTACTAATGCATAAACATTTTAGCAACAATGGAATTACGAATTCTACCGTTATATTAATTTCTTTTTAATTATACGTCTTCGACAGTCAAATTTGTTGAATACTTTTACCTAGAACGAGCCTCATTAAATACAATCTTATTAACGTACACTTCTCAACGCGAGAATTGATTGTAATTTTAATAAATAAATAAAAAAAAAAATTTACGTACACGATAATTTTACAGAACGCACAAAGGACGAGGAAATTTCTCTTTTAAAAAGAAATGTCGATGGCCCTGTAAATAGGATTATTTGTTCGGGCGTGTAAATACGATTATTTGTACGGTCAGTTCGAAACAGACAGTGGCATTGAACGGTATTTGTAAAGGACTATTATTAGAGGCTCAGTCATTTTTTTATTTTCTATAACATTGCCACATGTCCATCGTGTCGCTTAGCCATAATTTGTGTGCCTCGTAATCTCTACATGAAATCTACAACCGCGACAATGGCACAAACCAAGCGATCTTCAAGATTAAAAACCACTTTAGTTCGATTATAAAATACTGGGAATTTCATTGTCCATGTCATCTTTACTTTTACTTTTAACATTTTTTTAATTCCAGGAAGGCAAGAATGAATTATCACCGATATGCGCGATTTTCTCTTTCGATTCTGCGTTAAAAATTTTATAAGAATATTAAAAGCCTTGTTCTTACCTAAAAGGAAAATGGGACTGAGAGGGACACAATGGAGTTTCCAAACCGAATATCTCTGATTTATGACAATTCCTTTGAAATTTTAGTAAGCAAGAATTTCCTATGGGACCGCTCCTATTGTCTTATTATTGCTAATACCTCTGTTATCTCTCTTCTATTACCTGTAACCGTTTTCCTAAAATTTTAGGATAGGTACGGGGGTTGTGATGAAGTCAAGGATTCCCGTTAGGCGGTCGACAACTACAGCCCTTAAAAGAGGAGCCCCGAAATGTCGATGCTCTCAGTTTGACGACAGATTTTCAAGAATGAAGTTCTTCGGTTTGCTACTAATTTTAATCTTTATCGCGACGATGATTATCTTTCGCCCACCAAAAAAACCATCTTTGACGGAAAACGAACGTCCTAAATTTGTGCACAGTTCTGAGGAGGTGCGGTACTATCGTTCCATGGTGAACATGTTTCTTGAAATTAATATATATGTGTACATATACCTTTTAAAGAAACGAATAAATAATTGGAATAATAGACTAAATCTACTAAGATAATCTAAAATGAAGAGGAAGCACACCATCTGTTAGAATATCAAGAAAAAGATTAACAAGTAAGTTTTGCTCTTTTCTATTTACTCGTATCTCTTTCTCAACGATATTTTATCGACATTATCGATGTTCCAATCGCTCACTGTAAACTTCTTCCAGCTTAAACATGAAAACACTATCCCATCAAAGTCGAGAGCATTTTCGGCTATCTACCTATATCCATCATCTACATTGGCATAGATCCGCAGAATCGAACATAGACTCTAATATATTATAGATCGCCTAGACCTTTAATTTAAGTAATATCTTTTACATGTAACAATTTGTTACATTCTTCTGATAAATTAATTGTAATTAGATTGGGAAAATGAAGCGGTTACGTAGAATAAGGACTGAGCAGCTCTCTGAAGAAGTTGGTAAATCCTATACAAAGGTTATTCAGAGACTGCCATAATATGGAGAGATAGAAGACTGATACTACTACTCTTAATTGTTTTTCGATGTAAATCAATTAGGATATATACTTAGAATATTTCATAATTAATATAGTTATATAATTTCTAATATAGTATTATTATATAACTTAATTATATTATTAATTATATTTTTAATTAATTGCATTTCTGATATAGTATTATTATATAATTTAATCATATTATTAATAATATCTTTAATTAATTGCATTTCTAATTAATCCTATTAATAATGGAATACTTATATTTTATAATTAAACAATAAATTATATATTTACTAACATCTGAAGTTCTCGCTCTCTCTTCAATTCTCCCCACCTTTAAGTTGATTCCTTACATTATCTCTTCCTACACTTTCAAGTTATTGCAAATATATAAAATCTATCTCAAATAAAACTCCTTCACCGAATTTTGGCCTCGGATTTTGTATCTGACGCAATTATCTAAACACGGTTAATAAATATCCATGGAAACAATCATTAATATTAATTATTATCAATAAAAGAACAATTATGTAAACGCTTGAGTTAAGTATGCAGATATTTATGAACGACAATGTATATCCACACGGAACAAAATTATCGCAGCAAAAATAATTTCCGTTTTCTGAGTAAAACGTCTAAAGCTGAAACCTTGAAAGTGACGAACGATTAATTATCTAAGCGACAGATTTAACATCGAAAGTTCCCAAACGGCACTGAATAAAAAATGATCTTGTGAAAGCATTGACTTATGTCGTCTACTCTTTCAATATTATCTACCACAATTGCAAATTCCTCTCTCTCTATCTATCTATCTATCTACCTATCTCGTTTATTTCTTTCTCTCGCCTTTCGTGCCACGTAATGCCCCGAAGCTGCCGACTTAGGCTGCTGATTAGCGTCCTTAGTCGTGGCTGGCACTTTCTTATAGTTCACTTTGGCTGTCCTTGTACCATAAGGCCGTCCACTCATTAGGAGCCAATGACAAATGCGCCGCGCCGTCGGTAATCTCCGGAAATTACGGAACTGTGGATATCTTCCTTGAATTTCGGCAGTGAAGGGTCTCACGTATAAAAGCGCCGTACGCCAACAACTTCCTATGATTATCATTCGGTTCTTTCCACGTCAAACGTCTGAACGGTTGAACCTCATCGAAATGACCACACGCATCGTCTCGCTGTTCGTGCTGTGCGCGGTAATGTGCCAGATGTGTCTCGCAAAACCAGCAAAAGTGCTCCAGAATCTAGAATCTTTGAGCCCTGTGCAACAGGAAGAGGCGATATCCACGGTTTCTGGTCAGTTACTTACCTTCGAAAGAAGAAACTTGTTTTCTTAGGTGCGCTTTGGCACAGTTTTGGTGTTTTATTTAGATTATATTGGTTTACTTTACCGCAGATAACAAGAGGGAACAACGATCGCCGCAGTTCGGATTTTTGAACGGAGATTACTCAGACTCTGACTTGGACTTCGAAGAAGGAGAACGTAGCTTTAAACATCACTACAAGCATCATCGCAAACCAGCAGGCTGTAGAGATTATCCTTGTGGACAATATCCAGGGTACGCTTTATATCAACGATTATTCGTTTCTTTTTTTGTCTTAGATATACTTAGATCATATATGAAATATTAATTTCTTCGTTATTTTAGATACGTGCCACCTGTTTATCCATCATATCCAACACAGAGTGGTGCATCAGGGTCTTTCGCCACAGCTTCCGCAGGATCCATCAACGCAAATGGACCCACCGGGGGACAAAGTCACTCGAACGCACAAAGCGCCAGCTTCAACTTCGGACCGTATTCCGCATCTTTCAGCGTCGCTGAATCTTCTTCTGGCCAAAAGTTTTAAAAGACGTCCAAGGTAATTGTTTGTCTTCGACATGGAGCTTCGCTTAACACTTACAACAGTCAACAATTCACACGTTGCCGCAGATTTTTTTAAAATTTTACTCTCTATCGTTCTCGCCTTCTCCGTGTGCAACTCGTACAAGAAATTTAAAAAATCCAAAATTCTAATCGGCCAATCGTTCATCGCGTTCTACGAACGAGAGTTTACCTTCTCCTATTCCACTTCCATAGTGACATTTCTTTAAAAACCATTCAACTCTTATTTTAATCAACAAGTGCGTCATCAATGTTGAACGCATCGACGCTACTTTCTTTAAAACGCTGTACATCGGATCCCGTACACGGAGAAAATCTTTTTCCGAGTTCCTCCTACACATAACACGTGTAACGACCACGCCAGTCGACACGCTTCGTCCCGTGTCCCATAACCGAGAATATTAATTGACTTCGCGCGCGCGCGCGCGTGCAACCG